TCGGATCCCACTGCAGAATTCGGTCCAGCGTGCAGATCACTTGTGTCAGATGACTCTACTGCCTCAGCCTCTTAAGTAGTGCAGTTACAGGCTTTGCCATTGTGCATAGCTGTAGTGGTTTTTGCACGTATTTTCAAAAGTTATTTTACATGTGTGTGTGTGTGTCCATGCCATAGCAAGTACTTTATCCACTGAGCCATCTTGCTAATCTCAGTTTTTACTTTTAAAAATAATGATATCAGCATCTTTTCTTTAAATATGATTATTTTCTGTATTTATCTACATCATTTTCTATAAATACCTATAAATATAAACATCTAACTTATCTAAATATATTTATTAGAAAAATTTAAATAATATGAATATCTCTAAATGTAAATAATGTATTTTTATAAATATTCTTTACATTAAATATTATTCCTGAAGAGCTGTGTTTTCACATACAGAGTTAGAGTTACTGAATCAGGCCATGTCTGATTACATATGCTATTAGGCATTCCTTCTTTACTTAGAATCCCAAGTTCTCTGCCTCTTTGCTCCTCTTAGTATCATTTTCTGTGCAATACCAGCCCTTTGATCTGTGAGCTACATCTGATCCTCTCTCTTCTATTAATATCTTTGTCCCAGCAATTGTTCCCTCTCCATTATCCCTTTTTGTAGATCCTCCCACATTTTATAGCTCGAAAGACATGCTGAAAAACAAGCTCCCTTACTACAACCCAGATCTTGACATATAGGGATTTCTCTCCATCAGCAAGCAAGCATGTAAGTCTGCAGTGGACAGCAGCTGGGTGTCTGTAACTCAGTTGGATTCCTGTGCTGTCTACCTCTTTTACCTTTCTGTGAAGCACGCCTTCCTCCCAGGTATGAGAAAGCCTTCATCTAAAATAGGGTGTTATCAGACATGGTAGGTCAGAGAACTGCTTGATGGCCAGTTCTAAAAGAAAAGGCAAGGGATGGTTAAGGTGTGACTCAAGCTTCTATTGTCTTCTTAAGGAAGTGAGTTCTAGTCTTTAACAGATGAATGGAGTGAAAGGGAAGGAGACAGGGACATAAGGGGAGGGAGGGAAGAATAGAGAGACAAATAGACAGGGACAGAGAAACTTGATTCTGTTTCCTGAGACTCCCAGTGCCCCGTGTTAGAAGTCCAGCCTTTCATGTTTGTTGCTCTGAAGCTGTTCCAAAGCTGCTTCAGGAGCCAAGGACAAAAGGCCAAGTTACATTAACCTTATTGTTCTAATCGCTTAGGAAAAACAAGGACTATGGGAGTTATAAGCCAGTAGCTATGGATGGAAATAAGTAAATACGTAGAGGGTTTGGGGCTCCTTCCTCTGAGATACACAGCATTGTTTATGAGGCTCCAAGTTGAGCTATCCAGAAACTCACCAAGCCCATCCTATCATAACAGCATATAAACATAAGCACCTTAGTTGTCCCCGCCCTGAAAATGAGAAAAATATTCCAAGTCCTTACTGGCTTCTGTTCTCTATCCGTCCCCCCTTTTTTTCCCTCAAACCTTTGCCATAGTTTCTCTCAACCTAGTAAAGGTTTAATACACATATCAAAAACTACTGTTGTCAATGTGCCTTACCACATGTATCTAGGTGGTATTTGGTGATGAGATGTGCTATTTCTCCTCATAGATCTGTGGTTCCCCCCATGTTTGTTCCTTCTCTCTTTCCTGTTGTGGTTTGTCCTCTCTTCTCCATCCTCTATGATTCCAGGCCTCATCCCTGAACTATCTCCTCTGCTGATACTCTTCTCCAGGCAGTTTCTCATCCAGTTTCTTGACTTCATATGTGGTATCTATGCTGCTCCTTTGTAGGTGTGTATTTCCACCTGGGATACCACATACACTTTAGACTTACACCTTTGAAGGTAGAGTAATGGCCTCAAATATGTCATTATGAAAGTGAACCTGTAATTTCTCTTACACAAGAGTTTGCTTCCTTTAGATTTCTTCATTCTCTTTTTTGTTTTGTTTTGGTTTTTGGTTTTGGTTTTTCTAGACAGGGTTTCTCTGTGTAGCTTTGGCACTCGATCTGGAGACCAGGCTGGCCTCGAGCTCACAGAGATCCACCTGCCTCTGCCTCCCGAGTGCTGGGATTAAAGGCGTGTGCCACCAACGCCCAGGAAGATTTCTTCATTCTGAAAATAAAAGTTCTATCATTTATAGTTGCTTCAAAGCCCCACTCTTCAGTTCTCCTTGCCATCAGCAACTATTACCAATTTAGCAACTTAAATCTGCACCTGCGCATTGGCAAAGCAACCAGAGTATTCTTTTGAGTGCAAGTCATACCATTTTATCCCTCTTTAGACAACATCTTTTACAATATTTTAATGTAACACAAAGTAAAAGCAAAACTCTTCGGTTGGTCTGGTTTCTACTACATCTGTGACCTCATTTGCTGCTTGCCCTTCCCACTGAGCTCCAGCATGGCTCTTGTGTCTTGAGTATTCTAGGCATACTTGCCCATTGGGCCTGAGTCTTCCCATTCTCCACACTGAGAAAGCAGTCTCTTAGTTATTTTTTTCCTTTTTCTAGACTTTTAATTACAGAAAATGAGAGGATAAATAGAACAACAGTCCATATACCAGAAAAACCATAGAAAGGGCCAGGAGGTGGTAGTGCACGCCTTTAGTTCCAGCACTCAGAGGCAGAGGCCGGAGGATCTCTGTGAGTTCAAGACCAGCCTGGTCTACAAGAACTAGTTCTAGGACAGGCACCAAAGACATAGAGAAACCATGTCTCAGCACCCCCCCAAAAAAAAACCATAGAAAGAACATTTCCCCTCCATCCTGTGATTATAATAATTACTTCATTTTCCCTTTCTTTCCTACAATTTTTTATTTCCCACTCATTCAACTTAAACATGTGTGGATTTGGTCATTAAAACATTAAAAGAGAATAAGATATTATCAAGAGTCTGTTACATAACACCACTTTTTATTACGGTGACCTTGAATGAACTATATTCTCATTCACTTCCTTTGTTGGAGGAATATTTATTTAAAGAATTAACTAATTTTAATTGATGCAGTTTTTAGGAGAATTGATGGTAAAATGTTACTATGTATTTGTAATGCTTGAATAAATGGAAAACATTGTGGACTAAGTATTTCTTCTCTTCCCTGTCTCTAGAAAGAATTTTATTGTCATTCTTCCTTTTCTATTTCTATGTATAACCATTTCCCAAATGTGTAGGAAATTAAGCATTAGAATTTTAATATCCTTACATAATTATCATCCTGATTATTAATAGAACTACTATATTTAAGAGAGATCTACATGTCTCATTTCCTTTTTAATGTGAGGATTTAAAATTTTTTAATTACATTTATTTATCTTGTCTCTCTGGGGGTGGCAAGAGAAAGAGAAGAAAGTACAGTTGCTTAGATCATGACACTTACATGGAAGTCAGGGGATGTTTTGCTGGTCCTCTCCTTCGACTGTGAGTAGAACTTGGGTTATCAGGCTCAGTAGCCAGGGCACTTACCTGCTGAACCATCTTTTTTTTTTTTTTTTTTCTGAGACAAGGTTTCTCTGTGGCTTTGGAGCCTATCCTGGAACTAGCTCTTGTAGACCAGGCTGGTCTCAAACTCACAGAGATCCTCCTGCTTCTGCCTCCCAAGTGCTGGGATTAAAGGCGTGCGCCACCACCGCCCGGCTCTGCTGAACCATCTTAACAGGCCCTGATTGTATTTTTAAATTAAGGTTACATTAATGTATATGACCCAAGGAAAACTGCTCATTGATCCATCTTGTTCTATGACTTTAAGTTTATTTAATTAATTTAATGTTATATGAATTAAAAGCAATATTTTTAGAGAGTGACATAAAAGATTGTAAGTTTAACACATCTTGTGATTCTACTGAAGTAATTCTATGGAATACTAATATAAATATACAGAAACAAGGAGAATAGGAAAGTGGGCATTGGTTGGTAATAGATTAAAAACCCTATCAGTTGAAAGCTTACTAAATTGTAGGCCTTGTTCTCGCTATTGAGGAAAAAGCTGTAAACAGCACAGACAAAAATCTATTCCCACTGTCTTTTTACATAGCAGAATATTTAGGGTATTGATGGCAGTAAATGTTATGACAGGATTTGAAGAAGGCAGAAGTAGGGTAGGAACTGGTGCTTCTCATTATAAAACAGAATTTCTTTGAGGGTTCCATCTAATGTAGAAATTTAGTCACTCACCTATATTAGACACCTGAGCTCTGTTTGTGTAAATGACAATCTGGGGTTTGTGTCTCCACCAACGTGAACATAGACCCTCATTTTTTTTTTACTACAAATCAGTTTTTAATTAAATCAGGACTGTCCCACAAAAACATTATTAGCTATTCATGATCTGGATTTTGGCAATTGAATTAAACTATGGTACACTTTAAAAGTAATGGGACATTTGCTTTGTGATAAATAAGGCAGCAGAATTACTCATTAGTACACACTTCTGAACAAAAATCTTGCCTTTCTCAACATTGCCCATTTTTAATTCACTCCCGGGTGATCAACACCACAATTGCTTCGACCTGAAGACGGGCGTCCCACTCTCTACTAGACCTTGATCTTAGAACATCCTTTTCTTGTTCTTGAGTTTCTTACCTAGAGCTCACTTTCAGGTCTTTAGGATTTTTTTTTCCTTAGAGAATGATGTAGAATAATTGTTTTTATCTTTTTTATTGATATAAAGACTTGTCAAGATCCATTTTATTTATGAAAATTTAATGTTGCATGTAAGTAAAAGGGGGCAGAGCATAACTGAATTTTACTGATATAATTGGATAATAATCTGTAAAACTGATGACAGACCATGCTAACTTGCCATGTTTTAAGATGTTTAAATCTTTAATAGAATTATTATAATTCTATCTTTGCTACTAAGTATTTTAGAGTTTGCTCTTCAGTGCTTACAAAACAGAAGTGTTAATTTTAAGAGTCAAATCGGAATATGCCATTTCACTTTCTTCTTTTTACCTGTGATCTTCCTAGTTCTGATAGCATTAGCAGTGATGAGGAAGAACTCAGGACTTTTGGAAGCAGCGACAGTGAAAGCAGCACTCCAGAGAATGTGGGGCCTCCTCTCATCATGGATGAGAACAGCTGGTTCAACAAATGTAAGAGAGTGAGACAAAAGTACCAGCTTACCCTGGAGCAGAAGGTATTTGTCAGTTATTAAAAGTCACTTCACTTGTCTCTGCATTTTACCTTTGGACTGTCACTATTCAGAGATCTTTTAACTAAGAAAATTATGTACACGTTGCTATTTCTATCTATTTCTGAATTGAAGTCTTATTTAAAGTCAAGAGAGTTAACACGTTAGAGGTGCCCAGCAGGAACTCCCTCCAAGACACAAACAACTTGAGCTAAGCACAAGCATGTAATCTCAGCATGTAGGTGAAGACAGAAGGATGAGAGTTGGGGGCTAGCCTAGGATACACAGCAAGACCCATAAAACCAAGGACTGAGTAGGAGCAACTTAATGGTAGAGCACTTACATTACATGCACAAATCACTGGACTTTGATCCACAGCATCACAAAACAACCCTTGAGAAGAAACTGCTTCAAGATATGACTGTAAGAAAACAGTGAAGTTCCGCATCATACACAGCACTTGGAGAAATCCATGTGCTTTTATAGTGGATCTGTTTACCAGCATTGATTGTATACGGATTGGAGATAGAAGAGAAAGAGACCCAGTGAGCACAGCTGGACACCAGCACTGTGCAGAGGTGCAGTGGGAACACAGTGACCCAGACTGAAGAGGATGACTTGGCACCAGAGAATTGCTCTGCACTTTTCAGCATATGTTTGGGAAGCTATTTTTAAAAAGTCTTGTCTGAGCTTGTTGCTCCAAGAAGCAAAGTGCCTTGCACCCTGTTCCTAAGAACTGGTTAAAAGAAAAACAAACATGATTACGCTGAGTTGGAGCCTGGTCCTCTGGGATATTCTGTGAAATAAACTTGACTGAGAATTCTGTTCAAAGTGAAAGCTGTCTCTGATGGAGGAACTGCGTACGGTTGCCCTTTAAAGCTGTCAGCTGATTCTGTTAGAGAGCTAAGTAGAAACACTAGAGCCCTGGGCATTAGCAGGGACTGGCAGGATCCATGCTGCCCAACGCTGTTGTTGACTTACAGCCTCATGTCCTCTCAGCCCTCTGAGAGGCCACCACAGATAGTGCTAGGGAACCTGACACACTATAGCATCCCCTGCACCCTTCACCCTTTCACCCGGTAGGGTGTTCAGAACAAGGGTTTCCAGAGTAAATCTGTAGGGTCTGTATGCTAGCTCTACATCTTACTCTAGTCCAGTGGTCCTCAACTCTCCCAATGCTGAGACCCTTTAATACAGTTCCTCATGCTGTGGTGACCCCCAGCCATAGAATTATTTTCGTTACTACTTCATAACTTTGATTCTGCTAGTTATGAATCATTATATAAATAATGTGTTTTCTGGTGGTCTTTGTTGATGCCTGTGAAGGGGCCATGCAGCCCCCCAAAGAGTTGTGACCCCACAGGTTGAAAAACCACTGCTCTAGTGCAAATGCTGGTGCCACTGGCCAGGAGCAAAGTGGAATGAAAAGGTCCAGCATTTCCTGTCCTGGAAGGGCACATAACTAAGAAATGTGGAAGGAAACTGATCACAGAGAACATGTGTCTGCACCTATGCAACAACTGTGATTGCTTCAACAGAGAGGAAATTTTCATTTTTATTTTAAAATTTTATTTTTTATTTATTTGTGTGTGTGTGTGTGTGTGTGTGTGTGTGTGTGTGTGTGTGTGGGTGTGTGTGTGTGTATGCACACACATGGATGTAAGTGCCATAGGATGCGCGTGGAGGTCAAAGGGCAGCTTTGGGAAATAGGTTTTCTCCTTCTTCCATGGATTTCAGGGATTGAACATAAGTGAACCTGGCTTGAGCAGCAAGCACTTTTACCTGATGACTCATCCCTCTGACCTTTCTTATTTGATGTGCCTGTATGTATTCTTTTGTTATTGCTGTTTGCTGTTGTTTCCTGTTTCTGTGTGCTTCTGAGGAACAAGCCTAACATTTTTAGCGCATTTGCTTTACTCTCTGTTGCTAAGCTATATATTCCAGCCCACACATTAATATATCCATGACCCTGTGTTGATTGAACCTTGGTAGATACATAAAGAATAGAGGACATAATCCCCAGCTAATAACCTAGCTGCAGGTAGGCATGGCTGAACTTAAGATCCATTCCTAAACCTCCATCCCCATAGCAACAAAAAAGAGAAAATGTTATAGACACTGTACCTGGAAGACCTCTCCATAGGTTTTCTCCATACCCTGTTTCAGACTGTCCTTTGCTAACAAATCTAGAAAAGTGCGCACAAAGAGTTTGTCCCATGTGTCAGATATTCTGCTGTGTATATCACACCACAGAACACCTACTCTTCTGAGACCTACAATAAAGGCAAGTCCTACAGACTCCAAATTAGCAAACATTGTTTTAAAACTCCATTACCAAGCAAAGGAGCTACAGGGAAGCCGTACACCATAAAATAAACCTACATCCAAGGTCACATTACCAAGAGAAACTGCTTACTATGAAAACACCCTCATAAAAGCTATGTTAATTCATTGATGGCTCAAAAGGCCTCACTTGAGAGAAAAAATTTAAAGGAAAAAAATGTTTTATTTGGTTTCCAAGTTCAAAATTTTTGGACCGTATTTAGTCCATTGCTTCCAGAATAGTGGTAAAGCAGAACAGTGATGAGCCTGTAGTAGACAGGGCTGCTTACATTGTGGTGGTAAGGAAGCCAGAAGGGTTAAAAGGGACAAGGGCGATGTGTACTCCCAGAAGCATGCATCTGCCTGCTTTTCTCAACCAGGCCCTGCCTCCCTCTGCTCCCAAAGGAGTCTGTTGAGCCAAGTGGATTACTCATTGATGAGGTTTGAGTTCTCATAATCCAAAATTCTCTGAACAGGACTATACTGGGCACATGTCCTTAATGAATGAGGCTTTGGAAGACATTCTATACTAAAACTATAATAAAAGTGGAAAAATACCCATTTCAACAGATGCTTGCCCCAAACTCAATGCACAAATAGGAGAGATTAGTGCAAAGGGGCATGATTCCTTAAAAAGTTCATAATTCTCTTGTAATTGATCTCAAAGATATCAAAATGAAAGATATACCAAAGAATTAGAAGAAAGAATGCTTTTTAAGAGTATTTAATAAACAGTTATAATATGACATGTATTTAACACCAATGCTCAGGAGACTGAGGCAGGAGCATCACTATGGGTTTGAGACCACTCTGGGCTACATAGTGAATTCCAGGCTAGTGTAGCCTACATAGTAAGATTCTTGTCTCAAAAATTAATAGCTACTCTAAAAAAGAACCAAAGAGATTTCTGGAGAAAGAAAATCTTGATAAGAGTCTTTAAAATGAAATTAGAAGCCCCTCCCCTAGAGTAGATCAAGCAAAAAAAGAGGATATCCAGTGTGTGTGTGTGTGTGTGTGTGTGTGTGTGTGTGTGTAGATATGTATGCATGTATGTATTCATGTATGTATGTATATGTGTGTATATATATGTATATGTGTATGTGTAAATTTTATATGTGTATGTGTGAATTAAGTGTTTATGTATGTATGTGTGTATATATGAATGTGTGTATGTATGTATGTATGTATATGAGATCTCTGGGACATCATTTAAAGACTAAAGGTCGGTAGTTCAGTAGGTAGATGACAGATGTGTACATAGACTGATTAAACATATGTATATGCTGATTAGACATATAAAATAGGCTAAAAATAAAGAAAACCCTTTTAGTGAAATAGAAAATTTCCCAAATCATAGAAAATACATGGACATCCAGATGTAGGAGGTATTTATGACCCCAGATAGACATGGCCATAGAATAAACTCTTCATGACATAGATGAAGTATAGAACAGCAACAAGAAAGTATTAAAAGCTGAAGGAGAAGCTTCAGCTCACATTTGAAGGCAAACCTGTCAGAATTGCAGCATCCTTCTCAGCAGAAACTCTCAGAGCAAGGAAGACATGAAATACTGTATCTGACATGTGGAAGAAAGATAATTGCCAACCTTAATTACTGTCCTTCTCATAGTTAACCTTCAGAGAAATAAAGACTTTTCCAAGTAGCATAAGCTGAGGCAATTCATAACCACTGAACCAGCGCTCATGAAGATATTTAAGAATGCTGGTATATAGCGCAGATGGCATTGTACACAAAGTTAAAGAAGATGGAAGAGAAGTGGAGATATGATCAAAGTGTGATATATGCATGTGTAGAAATAGCCTCATGAGCCTGCTCTGCCGACCTGTCCCATACCAAGGTGAGTGATCCTCTGCTCTTCCCAACTCCTGTCCAAAGGCCCAATCACCCTGATCTCTCTGGGCCTGAGCCTGCTCGGAGTAGACCCGCCAGGCCAGGGAGGAGCTCCCTGAGTCTGGAAACACCTAACTCTTCTTTCCCGCTCTGCCGACCTGTCCCATACCGAGGTCACAAGAGGAGATAGAGAGACCCCACCTGCACCCACTGGAAGAAGATATGGGAAGAAGACAGAGTAAGAACTCACTCAACAACAGAAAGACCAATATGACACCACCAGAATCTAGGGACTCCACACCAGCAAGATCTGAAAAACTTGACACAAAAGATGAAAAAGAGATGGACCTCAAAAATTATCTCGGGAAGATGATAGAGACCTTTAAAGAGGAAACAAGAAAATCCCTTAAAGAAATAGAAGAAAAAGCAAGCAAAAAAATTACATGAAATGAAGGAAAAGACAAACCAAAAAATTCAAGAAATAAACAAATCTCTCAAAGAATCTAAAGAAACTCAAGAATAAAACAACCAAACAAGTAAAGGATGCACTCGAAACAGTTCAAGGCATGAAAGCTGAAATAGACACAATAAAGAAAACACAGAATGAGGCGATGCTGGAAATGGAAAGGCTGGATAAACGATCAGGAACTAAAGATGTGAGTATAACTAATGGAATTCAAGAGATGGAAGAGAGGATCTCAGTTATTGAAGACTCGCTAGAGGATATCCAATTTTTCCAATTTATTGGATATTAGGATTGCTACCCCAGTTTTGTTTCTTGGGTCCATTTGATTGGAAAATCTTTCCCCAACCTTTAATTCTTAGGGACCGT